TCCACGCATAAATGTGTATGTGCATGTACACATATATATACATATATGTGAATATATATATTTTTAATATTTATATTTCTTCCCAACTTGGCAAGGGATTTGCATATTGTAACCCATACCTCACCCACTCTGCACTCTTCACTCACCTTATCGTTCTACTTTTCTTGGAGTAGCCCCAACCCGGGCTTACCTCCCATTCTGCGCTTTTGTTTCTCCTCCTTAACTGGATGTATTTATAGAAAACTCACAGAGCAATTGGGTTGCCAGGTCTGGTCCATGTTCCTGTCCAGTAAAATGAAAATATTTAATAACGTTTTTAAAACCCCAGTCACAAACGTCTATTTAATAATTCTTGATTGCTGCCCTGACGCCGGATTTCAATATTTCTGAATACTCAATGCCTGGAAGCTAGCACAAATGGCTATCTAAAACTGCCAGAAATTGCCTTTCTGTGGCTCGGAATGTGAATGCGGGAATGTGACTTTGGGTCAGCCTCCCCTCTTCTTTTGAGAGGGATCTGTCCGTGGGCTCTCTCTGTCATGCCTACTTGTATTTAGTAGCGACTCTCTGCCCTGGAGGCAGCTCAGGACTTGGAAGAAATAATCTAAAAGCAAATACTTTATAATGGAATATTAAGGATTCTGTTTAATAATATAAAAGGCTGTCCCAAGATGTTCTGAGAGGAACATCTCTATAGAATTTTTTTTCTCTTTAATGAAGTGTTTTGCATTTTCCCTGGCAGGCCTGAAAACTCGGTTTGAGGGTAGTAGGTGCAGCCTGGGACTGAGGGAGCAAAGGAGATGAGACAAAGGACTTATGCTGGATAATAGGCTTTGAAAGTGTCAACTCTTTAACTAGACAGTCTAGTGTTTGGGGTGTATTTCCAGGAAAAAAAAAAGACCTGCCACGGAGACATGAGTTAGTTTATGAAAGTCTATCTCTATGCACTACTCAGCCAACTTGTTGTTGGAAATTTCGACTGTAGCTCTGTAGAAAACCAAGGAGCAATAATACCTTTTCCATTTTGATGCAATTCAGATGCCTTCTGCACTAAGGCCCCAGGGCAGCCTCCTCTCTGGTCAGTGTCAGCGTCCGGAGGCAACCCAAACAACAGTCCCATCAGTCAGAAGTCTATGTTGCAAGTGGCAGGAACCCCAAAGCAATCCAATTATTTAGAAAGGGGCTTCTCCATCCCCTCACCTTCTCTTGTATGGATGTGATCCTTATTCCTTCATAGTGAAGAAAGATTTTTCTCTACATGTAGGTTCGAACTCACTTGACTTCATGGCCTCCCGGCTCCTTGATGCCAATGAATCCAAGTAGACAAAGTCACAGAAGAACTCTGATTGGCTCAGCCTAAATCACATGCTCCCCTCTGGCCCAATCACTGTAAGAAGAAGGAGGTACTGTGATTGGTCTGAGTTGGGTCACATGCTCTGGTACTGTAGCATCTGGGCCCTTACCGTTTTGGTACATACTTGCCAGCTCTCTGAGGAAGGGTTTCTCTGGCTACCTGAGCTTACTCTGCCTGTGAACATGGCAGGTTGCAAGTGCTGAGGAATTAATGTGTCCCAGAAGCAGCTTTCAACCAGAACCTGCTGGGAGTTGGTGTATAAATACTAAGGGCTCCCTTGCCCCTAGGGTGATGCAGTTTTGAGACATGCATTCAATACTGTTTGCCAGAAATCCAGAGTGGGACTAAACTCCAGCTCGCCACCGTTGCATTTTGCTGGGCATTGCATTCTGTATTTGCTTCTTTTTCTTCCCTGTCTCACTCCACTTTTGCTGCAAGTATTTCCTATGATCACCTCTCAAATGTGCTTGCATTTGAGCCCTTAACACAGTGGCTTCTGGGGAAACTCAAACTAAGAGGCCATACCTTTTCCATATTGGCTGCCAATCAGTTACCATGATTGGCAGCTCATCACATGACTCAAACAGAGATAAAGTCATCACACGACTCAATGGGGACTCGCTTCCCAAAGGAAGCGATGTTTCTAAACATACAAAAACAGTGTCTATGCATTAAATAAAACATATCATGAAAAACACACACCCGGGGCAGCATACAGTGAGAACTTATGGCAAACCACTTCCCAGTGGACCACTATTTGGATACAAAACATGTCTGTCCTGATTCGCCCAGGGGAAGCAGACAGAACTCCCTGGTAGGTTGGCTCTGGAGAGGATGCTGTCTGAGGATCCTGGAGTCCAGGCTGCAGTGAAAGCTACACCTTATCAACACCTTCCTACCATGACTTCATTCATCCCAGCTGCATCTCGGCCACAAAGCTATCATGGCAGAAGGATATGCCCAGCTCCTCAGATGCTGGCCAGAGGCTGGGCGACTTAGCTCACGTTTGGTGACATTCCTGCTAGACACTCAGGCTTGTGTGACAGCCCATGCACATAAAGTGATAAAAGTGCTCTCCCGATCTTTGTGCCTCGGCTATGGTGTCCAAAGCCTCTTTTCATTCGGGCTTGTTGGTGTCTAAAGCCAAGCGTATTTCAAATATGTCATGGGTTGAGTTATCTAGAAGCAAAGCTGGGGGTGGGGGTTCTGGTGCATGTGACCCTGAGGGAGTGCTCTTCAGGTAAAGAGCAAACAAACAAATACAAAACCCCACATACCTCTATGGTTGTGAAGGAAGCACAATAGGAAAGGTCAAGGAGCTACACAAGGATGGGGTCTCAGGTAAAGTCTAGGTCAGAGGTTCAAACTATAGCCCTGGGGCCAAATCTGCTACCACCTGTTTTTGTAAATAAAGTTTTATTGGAACACAGCCATGCCAATTTGTTTATGTAGTCATCCCACGGAATCCCCAGGGGATTGGTTTCAGGACCCATTGCAGATACCAAAACCTGTGGATTCTAAAGTCCCTTATATATTAATAAAATTGTGTAGCATTTGAATATAACCCACGCACATCCTCCTGTATACTTTAAATTATCTCTAGATTACTCATAATACTTAATATAATGTAAATGTCATGTAAACAGTTGTTATACTGCATTGTTTTTTATTTGTATTATTTTTTTATTGTTGTATTATTTTTAAATTGTTTTTTTTTCTGAATATTTCCAATCCATAATTCCATGGCTGGTGGAATCCAAGGATGTGGAGCCTGTGTGTACAGAGGGCTGAGTGTCCACTGTCCAGGACTGCTTTCATGTTGCAGTGGCAGAGTTGAGTAGTTAAAACAGAGACTGTTATTATCTGGCTCTTTCCAGATAAAGAATTTGCATACCCCTGCTCTCAACTTGTCCCTATCCATTGGAGTATCCATCATAAAGTTGGATAATTTTACCCACCTCAAGGCAAGGGGCTGGTACCTTAGTGCCAGCTGGGCATTGGTTGGCAACCACCCCGGGTGTTGAGGATGAGGTGCGTGAAACTTGTTAATCTCAAGGTGGCGACTCCCATCACCAAGAAAGATTCTCTGAATACCAGGGACAGCTGTGAGCTATCAGCAGCCAACACTTGCAGCCACTGGGGATGGGCACACGCTGGGCAAAGAGGATATTTCAAGGCCCCACTGGCATCCACTGCAGTGTGTGCTTGGACCAACTCATGTGCTTCATGAAGCTGAAGAAAACCTGTATTTTCCACCTGAAACCGAACCATCATTATCTCACCTAGATCTCTGACACTCTTGCCTTCTGTCCATTCATCCCATCACTCTCAAGATGAAGTTGGGAACACTTAACAAGGTCCACTAGGTCCTGCCACCTGCTCAGCCTCACCTGGTTCGCTGTATTCTCCCGCCATGCGTGGCCAGAGCCCAGGGGACATTCCTCCACTCCTCCTGTGTACTCAGCTTCCCCAGCATCCCAGCTTTTTGCTCATGGTGTCTCTTCTGCATGGAACACCCTCCCTCATGCCTCCAACTGCCACTGCGCCAGACTAACGTCTCTCCTCCACCCAGAACTCAGCTCAGAGAATGTTTCCTCCGAAAAACCTTCTTGAACGTCTTGCCCCACGCATCTCTTTGCCTCCAAGTAGCCAACATTCTCTTTGTGTGTCTTTACATACCGTTTTCTGTCTTGTGCAAACCACAGCACAAAAAAATGCATAGACTGTCTTTAGCAAAAATGTCATATTATTTGCATTACTTTGAAGCTTGTTTTTGCCTTTAAAAACATGAACCATAAGACATTGTCCAGCTTGATATGTGTAGAGTTAACTCATTTTTAACTCAATTTTTTTCTGACAGCTGCATGATATTCTATCATGTGCTCACATAGTGTGTGCATCACATGTATTATAATAATTTAAATTCAATTCTCATATTGATAGATATTGTGAAGAGTTCAGATTGTTTCCGTGTATGTGCGTGTGTTTGCATTTTCCCAAAGAATGGTGCAAAAAACATCTCTGAACAAAAATATCCCCGCATTCTGAAGCTTGCATTTCTGTAGGTTCAGTCCCGAGAAGTGGTGTGGTTTGGTCAATACATCCATGTACGTTACATTTTCAACACACAGTGCCAGATTCCTTTCTGCAAGGATAGCAAATCGCGCATCCAGCAACAAACAGCCTTGGAGCCTCCCTGTCCTCCGCATCTTTGCGGGTGCTGGTGGTGTCCTTCAATCCTTTTAACGTCTGCCGATCTCTTGGCAAAAGAACAGCTTCTCAGTGTTCTTCCGCCTTGCATTTCCTTGACTGTCTCTGATGCTGGGCATTCAAATACTGTGTCAATAACAAAAACAACCCCTTCCCTGATAGGACCTTCACGTGGTAATCGTGGGGGCAGGTGGAGACGTTCTGAGCACATCCTTCGCCCTTCGAAGTGATGTCGGAGGGACACCCACCTGCCCCCAATTGCTCTCCGGTGAAGAGCATGGACTTGGCTGTGTCTGACATACCTGGACATGCTCTGCTGTTTTGCTGCTCCCCACAGGGTGGGGAGAGCTTGGGTCTGGAGGGATGCATTGACGCTGGGGAAAGTAGGAGGTCCTGCCCCGTCTGTGACCATCTCCCTCTGTCTCTTCGCTTCCAGACACCACCCAGATGAACAACGCAGTGCCCACCTCCCCCCTGCTCCAGCAGATGGGCCACCCACATTCGTACCCCAACCTGGGCCAGATCTCCAACCCCTACGAACAGCAGCCGCCGGGGAAGGAGCTCAACAAGTACGCCTCCTTGAAGGCAGTCGGTAAGGGCCTCCGGACAGAGCTTCCTGTTTTCTCTCTGCTGCACTTGGCTGCTCCTTCTAGTCCCGCCTCGCTGTGTGGGGTGGAGCGTTCGGGCGAGGGGCGCAGGTGGGGTGAGGGCTGTTTCCTGGGGAGGGTGCTCACTTGGTCCCCACTGACACCTCAACCCCTTTCTCATTCCCCCTCTGCCCTAGTGAAGCCTCAGGGAAGCCTGACGTAGAATCCTGGTCTCTTGGTCTCAGAAGTGCCTGGCCCTTTAGTGGGTAGCACCCTTCCGCTGCCAAGTCCATCCCATCTCTCAGAAGTCGGTAAACAATGGCGCATTTTCACCCCAGGCTACGGCTAATCCAGTTCTTACCAAGTGTGGGACGCTGTGCTGGGCCCTTTACACACACTGTTTTATTTTCTCATAGTGACCCAGAGAGGAGAGAACGATTATTGTCCCAATTGTCAGATTTGGAAACTGAGACTCTAAGAGGCTAATTTAACTTGCTCCACATCGAGCAGCAGTGGTTGAAAGAGCTGAGAATTGAACCCCTGTTCTTATCACTCAAGAGCTAACGTTCCCACCGCTGCCCTGGTTCTGTCCAGTCCGTTCCCCGACTCATGTGTGTGGGGATGTGACAGTCATCCTGCAGTGACCAAGGCTCATGAACAGTTTGCTCCTAGCGGAGTCCTAGCCAATGGGGCCAAGTCAGTGATTCCTGCTTCGTGATTGGCTGTGGCCCCTCAGGTTTCCTGGCTAGGCCAGTAGTCCCCACGTGCAGACACCTTTTACCAGAATTACCTGGAGAACAGGCAAAACATGCCGATGCCCCAGTCCCTCCCTAGAGATTCTAACTGAACTGGTTGAGGCTGGGGCTCAGACATGGGCATTTTAAAAGTCCTCTCTAGATGTTTCTCATGTGAAGTCATCAGCCCCACAGCCAGGAAAACCAGGTCCCATCTCGAGTGCTTATTCGGAACTTCTTTTTCTAATATCCTTAATGGCACTTTATATTCCTGTATGTTCTTAATACAGAGGGGGAATTCCCCTTTCCTTCTCACTGTGTCCTGCGGGTTCTGTTTGTCCTCCCTGCCCCAGAGGAGAGATTTTAAACCCAGGCTTTCCACGTAACCTGCTCCTTCTCTGAGTTTATGCCTTGGGGAGCTAGAAAAAAAAATGAGGCAGATGTGAGTTCAAATCCTAGCTCTGCTGCTTACTGTCTGTGTGGCCTCTGGCAACACTTAACCCTTTGTTATTAGGTCTCAGTCTTCCAATCTGTAAAATGGGCATATAAAGGTGCCTGTGAGGTTAGCCAATGATGACTCGTGTGATGGCCTACTGAAGGGTATTCATTCGACGTAGATTGGTCACCTCCCTTCTCCAGCGCCCCATTGTCTTGTCACTAGTGGCTCCATGGATGTATCCCTTCCTGATTTCCATCTGAGAGTATGCTCAGATCTCATGGGAAGGTCTTCCTTTCAAGTATCTTTAAACAGTCTCCCTTTCAAACTCGGAGTGCTCGCCTTTCCAGCAGAACTGACTATCAGAAGCCCCAGACTAATGAAACAATTCGCTTTGGGTGGGACTCCATTTGATTGGTAGAGGTCCTTCTGCTCTTTAGCTACCTATAAAAATGTGTTCCCACAGACTTTCAGTTCCTCGAAAACTTAGGGCGAGCAAGAAGACCCCATGTACCGTGTGCTTTCTTTTATTATCAACTGCTCACCTTCTTTCCCTCACCCACTGCCAAGCCCCTCGTTAGAGACGGGATGGGAGGTAACTTGCCGATTGATTCCAGTATGAAATATCCTAATTCTGTTCTAACACCAGAGCCCAAATCACAGATGCTATCATGTGTTTATAGTGGTGACCATAGTGTACACAAATCAGATTCACAAAACTAGCATATTGGTGCCTAGCAGAGGGCCAGGCACAAATTAGGTGCCTAATGTTTGTACCGGAAGTCTACCTTTGGGAAATTCATATTCCCTGATCTCCTAGGACTTCCAGATGGAATCACTGAATCAATTTCCAGGTTGAATCAAATTTATAATACAGGTTGTGCAGCCTGACACGGGCTTTTCTAAATCCGAAGCCTTGTGAGACCTTACCTAGTGGTTACCCACATTTCATGCTGAGTTTCTAGGCCCAGCTCAACCCTCATTGCACCCCCTGACTGTAGCTTCCTTCTGTTCCATACTGTGTGTTTGCATAGCACATGCATCCCGAGCATGTTCAAATATGCTCAGATATTGCTAGGGAGGGACGAGGGCTGTTGCCTAGGAGAGCAAGAGTCAGGGCATCTTCTCCAGTGTCACCGTGGAAGTCTTCATAGACTATTTGGTGGCCCACTTCTCTTTCTGAGCCTTACAGTTAGGTGATAAATAGCATATGCTGTTATATTTTATTCTTTAGGCATAAAAAAAAAAATCAACCCACATGTCTTTTCCTTTTTAAACTGGTCACACTAGCCTATGCAACTCATTTCTTCCACTTAAGCTCAGCCGCTCCTCCCCTCAACACCCAGCAAGTAGCTCTCTGGGAAAATAACAGATGGACATTCCAGCACAGCGCCTTAAATCTGTCCAGGATGTATGCAGGACTCCTTTACATAGCAAATGTCTGCAGTGCGTTTGGAAGGAAATTTGCAGCATGAAAATCATTTGACACGCTTTAAGGAACCCTCTGTTCCATACATCAGGAACTCCTGAAATGTTTGTTGAATGAATGGATGATCTTGTCTTTGACAAGAATAAAAAAAAAAAAAAGAAAAAGAACAGCTTGGTTGTAAGGAAGCACCTTATATCTCCTGGAAAACTCTGAAGGATCTCACTGGGTGCACACCGCCCCCGCCACCATGCTGGATGTGGTAGATGTGCACTGCTTGTTTTTCCTCCTCTTTTCTGACTACTGTGGAAGTTCTCAGGGCTTTCTCTGAGCCACAGATGGTCTTGTGAATCTGGAGGACCAGTTTAGAGCAGATTGAGGGACTGCTTGACCCAGTGGGTCACCCAGGAGTCCACCCTCTGTCTGCACAAATAAAATACAAATCCCATAATAAGTGTTCTTTCAAGGGTTCTTTATTAAGGCATAATGTGACTTCATTAATAAAATCATTACCACTCAGAAGAGAGGTGGGTTTAAAAAAAATGGTTTACTGTTGAAAACTCTGCCACCTTCAATAAATAGACTCATTTTCTAAAAATTTCAATTCAGTGACAAGGGGGGAGGGTTAGACAGCCTTTAGGATTAACTGCTCGGTTCAAAAATACCTCCAAAAAATACATATCTCTGGTAGGCTTTAATATCCAGAACACTTCGCAGATAGAGATTCTATCTCTAACCTTACTTAACTGTGTGACTTTGAGCTGGTCGCCAAAACTCTTGCACTTCAGCTTCTGTGTGCGAAAAATGAGGAAGCTGAACTATATGGGCTCCAAGCTCCATTCTCATTTTAAAATTAGAAAATTGAATAATTCCACTCATTCTACTTATTGGACTACCTGGGTCATTAAATTTGTCCCATTCATTCACTGCCAATTTGGGCAAAGGGTGGCAACTATTGCTTGTTCTTGAGACAAATTCGCCCCAATCCTGCCTTCCTTTCTTTTGTATTCTATTTTTGTTTGCTTATTGAAATTGCCCTCATTCATGTTTAAAGAGAGCTCTTTTTTTTTTTTTTCCTCTACAATTCAGGGATTTGGGTGTGTACCATCTGGTCATATATAGCATGTGACTGCAGAATGGTCTCTGTTCCCAGGGAGTTCCCTGCCCAGCTATCAGTAAACGATTAGCACACACTAGGCAAATGTCAGGGGCTAAACCATACAGAACTCTGTACAAGAAGGGATGATGGGTTGAAGAATCATTCATTCAATTCATTCATTCATTTTTCAAACATTGAGTCTGGTTTCCCTTGATTGCAGATCCCACTGAGGCATGAGCCAAGTCTGTCCCATTTGTCAATGTATCCCCAGCACCCAGCACCCACCACGTGGGGCGCCTGGTACGTGCTCCCAATACCTATTCGCAAAACTAGAGAAAAATGCCATGTGACAGGCACCTGATCAAGGCAGGAGCCCAAGATGATCAGCAAGGTAGCAGAATGTAGCGTGGCCTTTGGAATTGGTCAGGCCTGAGTGGAAGACCTAGCTTAGACATTGATCAAGTAACTGCAGAAATTATTTAACCTCCCCGGGTCTCAGTTTCCCCATCTGTTAAATGGAGATGATAATTATAATACACAACTAAGGGCTTGGAAAGTTTTATGATATGGTGCAGGTAAAGTTCTCAGCCAGCCCTTAGCAAATACCGCAGTATCTTCAAGTCTCAGACCAGAGACTCGTTTGCTGGTTCATCTTCTTCTTCTAATCTCTAAGATACACTGGCAACTTGATTAATATACAATTGCCCAAGTTTCATTTTGAGGGAGAGAGCCAGATCTATATTCTTTATTCCGGTTTGATGGGAAAGATATACATGAAAGTTAACTCATGTTGCAGATCTGAAGAAACAGCAAGAAAGCAAACAGATGGCTTTTTGGAGCTGTCCTAAGGACCAGCAGAGAATCAGCTGAAACCTGTCCAATTTCCTCATCTCTAGTCTGGACAATAAATGTGGATGCCCAGACATATGGGTGCTAGATTCCATCAAAGAAAGATTCAGTTTCATTCAATTGACTCTCTTTATTAAGGCAAATATGTGGGTTTAAGCATTTCAGAAACATTTTCCACCAAGGCTGAAGTTGAGAAGTGTCTTGGCACAGACTGAGCCAAAATGTATCCTGAAAATTCAGTTAAGCACGCAAGTTCCCTGGCCCGAGCCACCCATGTGGTTATAGTGTAAGAACCTACCTGTGGTTCTTCAGAGGTCAGTTTGCAAAACATAGGTGTTGGTGGCAGTATCTCTAAAGGTCACTTGATAGTTCAGAGAGGGGTGGCTCCTGCCTCCAGAACTAGAAAAAAAGTCACCTTTTTTTTTTTTTTTTTATAATTTCTGATGGGCTTTGCAAACAGCAGGCTGCTTGCATGTTGGTATTTATCTCATATTGACCCCTCATCTGATGTTTCCTCTAGGTTTCTGAGAGTTGAACTCCTAGGCTACCCAATGTTCCCGACCATGAGCCCTTAAGATGGCTCAGTGCAAGCTTGGCCACCCAGTATGAGAGACAGGATGTACCAGCATCATTGACAAAATGCTGTGTGCCTTCATTTTTAATTCTAAATTTTATTTTATTTTAAGACAGCATTTCCTCTGTTGCTATTTGACAGGCAATTGACTATTTTGCCAGAATCACATTGCGTTTTCCAATAGCACTTTTGCAAACCCTAGCAACAATGCACTTTGATGTGGCAGGAATTCCCTCTTTGCTCCTGGAATCATGCATGGAAACCCTAAGAAATGCATGAGGGTCTCAGCCAGGGATTGACCTCTGCTAGTTTGATGTTTTTAAAAAGTTAGGGCAGAAAGTGGCTTAATATTACTGAACTTCCAAACAGCACACCTCTGTGGGAAGCATTAGTTCCACCACTTTTCAGATGGGGAAACTGAGGCTCGGCGTAGTTAAGTAATTTTCCCACAGTCACACTTTTAGTCAGTGACAGAGCCAAGACTCATTCAAATGAGTGTCTGACTCAGAATCCTATGTTCTTTCCATGAAATGATGCTGTCTTCCGCAGAGCAATTTCTGGCATCTGAAGGAAAGAACCAGGTAAAAGAATGGTTGGGGGGGGGCTATACCCCCTTTTTTGGGGAAGGGTGCTTACTAAGGTATTCACTGTTTTTCTTTGTTTGAAAGTAAAACTTTTCCCATGATGCTGAGTATAACTGAGGTATAGGCTATAGTTGAGGCATGTTTTACATACAGTTCATAATTTTACAATAATGTGATTGTTGAAAAACGCACATGGTTTGGGTCACCACATCCCAATAAAGACAAGAAATATTTTTGTCACATTGAAAATTCCCTCACATCTCCTTCCTTTCAATACCTTAGGTCCCTCTTGATGAGCATTTTTCACCCAACAAGGACTTATCTAATGTCACTGGTGCGACCAAGTGCATAGCAGGCCTTTGACTACATGTTCTGCAGCCTGTGTGCCATCTTATTAAGTGCCCTTATTGCCAATGAATTTATGAAGGAGAGCCTGTTACTGCCTTGACAGAGCTCAGCCCTATATCTGAGCTACTGGGGACAGAGGTGACCAGGGAGCGGTTCCTGCCTTCAAGGCGAGCAGTGATGGATTTGATTGTGAGTACCATGGTTTCCTTGGAGCCAGTGACTCAGTGACTCGGTCAGCCTGTGTCCACCCACACAGGAAGGGCTGGGGCCACGTCCCTATATCCAGATGACCCTGCCTTGGAGGGAGAATAAGCACCGAGTCATCCCAGGCGGGTCCCACTTAATTTCAACTTCATCACCCTTCTGTCACTCCAATTTCCACTCGTGTGAGTGATGAGCGTGTAGAGTTCAGACCCGCAGGGGGAACGTGGCAATTTGAGCGTCCTTTGGCACGCCTGGGTGGCCAACCAGAAACGTCTAAATGGGGCCGGATCTGTGCTCTATAATCATCCAGATCACAGGCCGCTTGCTCACTGCGTCTCCTCCCAGCTGGCAGCCTGAGATGTCTCTGGAAATTGTGCCGAAAATGTTGAGGACTTGGTCTTTCCAGGTAGAGTCCTAAGAAAGGAAAGGAGAGCTGGCAGCACACACTGATTGGTCAGGCTCCAGCCAATGAGGAGAGGCCTCACGGGTGGGTTTGCCCCACTTTAAGTAAAACCCAATCTTACAAGAAAGAGCTTATCGAGAGGGTGTGTGGGGCAGTGGAGGTATAGCCATGCCCACGGCCATGCTCACCATCCTGTACTCCATGAAAGGAGTCACCATAGAATTCTGTTAATAATATTAGATCCCCCAGGGCTCATTCCGTACATCTGAAAAGGAATTCAATTTGGAGAAACTGATTTATAATGAACATTCCAGACACACATCTGTTCTGTAAAGCAATATATTACTCATGATGGGATTCTCAGATAACAAGCTTGATCCCTTTAGTGATCAGGGGAGTTTCCATACCTTAGAAAGAGTGACCCTGTGGATAAAATTGAATTCATTCATTCATTCAACAATGTTTTTCAAACCTAGACTGTGTGCTGGGCACTGTGGTTAGGCAGTCCCTACCCCACCGAGCCGGCCACCCAGTATTTAAAGGTACAGTCAGCAGAGCCCGCCCCAACCTTGAATTTGTGCCCCCTTTCAGCAGGGGGATTGCAATAAAAAGGGTCAGTATTCATCTCATGTCATCAGAGTATGGTCTTTAGCCAAGGTGAGCTCCTGGAACTCAAATTTCCCTTTATTTCTAAGCAGGTGGAAAGTTAGAGCCAGAGTTTCTACTTAAGAGTTCTCTCTCTCTCTCTCTCTCTCGCTTCTCTCTCCTTTCTCTACCTTTTATAACTGAAAATAATCTAGGCCTTTTTCAGGGCACTTCTTTTGGTCTTCTGTTGGGTGTTAAGTAGACACTGTTTCAAGGCCTTGCAGAAAGAGGTACACACAGTTGCATGTGGACGCCTGGCTCCTCCCCCTGTTCCCTGGGTCCCCTGAGGCCCGCTCCCCAGGAGGCTGCAGCCGGGGCAGCCGGTAGCACCTGGGCATGAGGGGCACAGCGACCACGGGGTGCCCTGCAAACAGATCAGCATCTCTCGATTGTTATTTTTTTAGGAAGTTCTGATGGTGACTGGACTGTATCGACACTAAAGTCACCAAAAGGTACCGTACAGCTTTTCGTAGCTCTTGTGTCCAGGTGTTGTTGCCTTGAGCATTAAGTGACAAAGGAACAGAGAGTCCTAGTGTCTCTGTGTGACCCACGCACACGTGTGTCCGCCTTGGGTGGCATCTGCGAGTCCGTCTAAGTTCCAGTGTGTAGGTGTTGTGTGTGTGTGTGTGTGTGTGTGTGCACGTGCACGGGAAAATTGTTGGGCAATGTGCTCCCCCTTGCTCCCCAATATTTGTTGCCTAAAGGAAAACACCACTATGAGAAACCATCTCAGGTAAGGTAAAAAACATTTTTTTTTTCTCAGAAAGCTACAAAGACAATATAGCAAAACACAAGGTAAACTAATGTGGGAGAAAGAACACAACTTCTGAGAAAGAGATCAATGAGAATGAGTTATTGGCCAAGGGTCTTGGGAATGATTAGATTTTTAGGGAACTGAACACTATTTTCGGGTTTCCTGAAGCATCCTGGTGAGCAGCGAGAGGGAAGGAGTTGGTTGACTCGAGCCTGTGAGTTAACTAGCTGGGCGGCTGGGCCAGGTGGTAGCTATAATTAATATATGAGCTCCCTAATACATGCCAGAGTGCTGGCCCTTCACATCACTTTAGCATTTAATTCTCCGATGACCCAACTGTGTAGGTGTCGCCATTCCCACTTACAAATGAGGACACAACGTCTGAGCAAGGGGCAGTCTCGCTAGTCTCAAGTCACATAGCTGCTAAGCCGCAGAGTTGCAATTTGAACCCGTGTCTGTCTGACTCTTCTTTTAAGCTGTTTTCCACTGGGGTGTGAGAGAAGCAGCTCTTTTCAGATCAGACCAGAAAGGCCGTTCTCTTCTTTCGTCCCTCCTTCTGCTCTGTTGGATTTGGCGGTGGGGAGGATGTGGCTGAGTCAAGGAGGTGGAGGTGGAACCCTAATGGCCGCCCTTGAACTGTGGGGAATTAGGAGACATCGCAGGGCACTGGCATGGCCATTTTCGCCTTCTCAAAAGATCGTTCTGGCTTCTAAGTGGAGACTGGATTACGGGAGCGTGGACTGGAGTTGGGGACACCCCACTGGGAGGCTCTTGCAGGCGGGCAGTGACCTGCAGAGGGGTGGGTGGAGGATGGAGAGAAGACGATGGAGTGGAGGGAGAATTGAGAGGCTGCAGGATGCAGTGAGCGAGTGGAGCAGAGGGGAGCACGGACTGTTGGACCAGTGGTTCTCAGGTTGTAGCAGCTTGAGCATACCTCAGCATCACCTGGAGGGGTGTTAAAACCCAGATTCCTGGGCCCCACCCCGGAACTTCTGATTCACTAAGCCTTGGATGGAGCCCAAGGAGTTGAGTTACTAGCAGGTCCCAAGGTGACACTGATGCTGCTAGTCTGGGACCACACTTTGAAAACCACTGCTGCACAAATAATCTTGCTGGGAAACTAAGACCTTTTGATTAGTTCTCCATGAGTCTTTTTATGGGCTGAAGGCTCTGAAGACGGGCGTTTGTCCAGGGTCCCAGATGCTCAGACTCAACCTGGGTTGTAGGGGTGAGGGGAGGAGGGTGCATTGTATTTCCTCACCAGGAAAGAGCTTTCCATCAGTGTGTTTAAAGAGAATCCCCCAGCTACCCAGTTGTTGCCTTGAGAGAGACAGATTTTTGGGTCTTGCATTAGATAATAACTGTTCACATGTCAAAGTCCATTTTTAGAAATGCAAACAATTTAGAACATGACAGACCTACTAATTTGAGGCATAAACTTTTTTTCCCCCCTGTCTCTCCCCTGTGAAAAACAAAGCCATTATGATCCCCGTGACAGCATTTGGAGGCAGTCTGTATCCCTGTCCTTATATCAGCCTGTTGTTATCTGATGGATTTAGAACATACTTCAGGACAGGTCAAAAGCTGGGGCTTGGAAGCTGTTTTCTACCCAAACCAAGTTAACCTCACTTATCTTGCTAAATGCACATTTATTTATGCTGTCTTGTCTGGGGAGGGGAAAAGGGGCCCCATGTGAAGGCCAGGTCCAAGTTCCTCTGGGGTCATTGGTCTGCCTTTAGTAGTCTCTACTCAACCTGCAGACTCAGAGCCTAGAGGCGTGATAACAAGGTTAGGGGGGTTATATATCCTCCCCTCCCACATTCTGCCACTTTCTTAAAAGAGAGAGACAAGCTGGGTGTGATGGGCTTAGACTCAGACACCCTGGGTTCCAGTCCATGACCCTAATATCATTTGCTAGTCTTGTTTTCCTCAGCAAGTTACTCAACCTCTCTGAGCCCCTATTTCCTGATCCACAAAACGGAGATAATCATGTCACCTACCTCCTAGGTCATTGCGAGTTAAGCCATTTAAAACATGTGTCACCATCCCTGGCATGTGGAAAATGATAAATGCATGTAGGTTATTACTGGTACTACTATTACTGTTGTCATCAGGTGAGCAAATTAAAGGCTCCGAAAAATCCTGTGGTAATAAAAACTGGTAAACTCTGTCTAACCTACCATTTGGCATCTGATCTCTTTTCTCTTTAGGAAAACCAGTGAACATCTTAATATCCAGTGGCATGAAGGTTGCTGGGAACCCACTTTGAGACCATAGGGCATTAGGTTGGGAATTAGGTAGAGGGGTGGGTGTCACCTGGGGAGGTAGGATAGGGGAGAAGAAAGAACAAGATGCATGAAGGTGCCAGTTTCCCACTGCCACCTGCATTGACTATGACGTAGGGGAAGGGGCTGTATCTGCCAGGACCGGAGATGCAAGCGTCATACCTGTGTGCACTACTCCGTTTTTCACTACCTAGGACTTCCCGTGCAGAGTGCCCCCTAGTGGTCATTGCTGTGGATCTGCCCACGCCCAGCCTGGGAACACCTGCCCTGTGTGTTTAAATCCCACAGTGGAAGACACCGCCTCAAGACCATCAGACTATCCTATTCAAGATGAAGCCGTGTCTTTGGAAATCGGTTCCTTTTGCAAAATGCAGCTTAAAACCTGACTCAGTCCAGTGCCACGGTGAAGCAATCAAGTTGGGGAAGCTACCAGCATAGTACTGTGATTTAATCCCTCTGCCTCCTGGTGGAATCAGCCTCTGTGCTCTTCCCCAAGCCACTTACGTGCCCCGGACTTCTGCTTCTGCCATTGCCAAAACAGCGGCCATCAGACTGTCCACTCTCCATAGGGTTGCAGGGAGTACTCGCATGAGACAAGGCCAGCGCCATAAAGTGTTCAACACAGGGCTTGGTATATAATAGGAACTAAATAAGTATAAAAGAATCCAGTACTCACAAAGTTTCCATTTGCCTCTGCTTCAGAGATGAGTCTTCCAGAAAGAAATACACTTCACTTAACTTTTCTGCCTTAACAGATGAGGAAACTAGGTCCCCATGAGAAGAGTTAGGTTGCCTAAAGCCACACAAGAAAGTTACATCACAACAGGACCAAGATCAATCAAGACCTCAAAAAGGGGCTTAAGGACTTGGCCGAGAAGTGCTGGAGATGCTTGTTCCGAATGCAAATCCTGGCCCCACTCACTCCTAAGGAATTGGAACCTCTGAGTGTGGGGTCCCCACATGTTCATTTTAAAAATGCATCTCCTGGGTGATTCTTATGTGTGTGAAAGTTTAGACCTAACTTTTCCTGAGCCCCCATCTTGGATGCAAACACAGTTGGCACGAGAGTGCCAACTTTCACATGCCAGCATTTCTCCCAGCATGAGGACTTTTGCTGTTCTCTGCAATAAAGCTGTTTTCTTAGTGGTGGTTTGAGCTGGGGCTACAGCTGGAAGGTAAGAAGAGCCTTAGAGGTGAATAGTCTGGGATTTGGTTTCCTGCTCTGTCACTTATTAGCAGTGGCAGAATAATTTGGCCACCAAATTATTCAACATCTCTAAGGCCTTAGTTCCTTCATCTGTCACATGGAAAGAATGATACTACATTGTCATCTTTCTATAACACATTGACTGCCACACCAGAGACCTAGAAACTTTTCCTTGGAGCCACAGTGTTTAATTACAAAAATAGAATAAAAACTTTGAGTATAACGTAAAGATAAACATACATAGAAAAATGAAACTTATTGACTTCTATTCATGTAATCCACATTTTGAGAATTCAATTGTCAATATTAATTGTTACTATAAGGACATCAACAAGATTTTATACATGCTTCACATGGCCCCAGGGTCAAAACTAGAGTGAATTAAATACCACTTTCATGGCAGTTAATGCGTTAAGAGAGTTTAAATGAGACAGTATAGGTGAAATGGTTAAAATAGTGTATGAACCATAGTAGGTACTCAATAAATCCTGCTTTTCTTTTTCTTCTAAGAAAATTGAGGTAGCCCAGCGAGAAATGTTCATTGAAGAGACGCTATAGAAGGCATGAGACGATAGGCAGTGTGTAGTAGGGTTACGGTGCTATTGGGGTGCACACATCCTATATACCATCCTGGGGCAACACCCACCGAAAGGCAGCTTTAAAACATTACTTGATGAAATTCAGTCTTTTGCAATTTCCTGATTTGGGTTATTGGTTTGGCAGCGAGCGGTAGGGTACAGAGAAGGTGGAAGATAGGAGGGTGATGTGAGGTGAGGTTTTTTAATAAAAATCAAATCCCACCCGTTCCTGAGTTCATCCCTTTTTGAAAAGCACACAGCGAGCGCTGGAGTTTTGATGAGCTTCCTTGGGAACCCATAGGGCATGAAATGAATCCGTGGAGAGAGTTCTCTGGGTTTCAGAAAATGGTGTTGCATCCAGAGTGCAGTAAATATCTGACTAGTTTGAAAGTGTGTCCCTCTGAGGCTGAGCCAGCCGGATCCCGTCCATTTCAACACCCACAGCACACAGTAGGCACTCAACATACCTTTTGTTAATAAATTATTAAATGAAGTTGGGCATAGCATTTGAAGGGAATCTTGTCTTTTCTGAAGAGGCACTGGGAAGTATTATAGAAAACCAACCACATGGAAGTCAGGAGACCCAGTGTTGCTTCTGCCCATTGGGTGTCTGTGAGCTTGATGCTAA